CAAGCTTGCTAATTGCAACATTCACACTAGCTTTCATAGACAAGGGTTCTTTCTCCCACCCTGGACATCATTCCACAGGCATATATACACTGCACTTGCTTCACTACCTCTATGCAGATACCCTCACTGATTGACTTTGCAGCTTCATAGCTACTCAATGCTATTCAAGCTTGCTAATTGCAACATTCACAATTGCTTTACATAGACTAGAGTTCTTTCTCCCACCCTGGACATCATTCCACACTGCACTTGCTTCACTACCTCTATGCAGATACCCTCACTGATTGACTTTGCAGCTTCATAGCTACTCGATGCTATTCAAGCTTGCTAATTGCAACATTCACAATTGCTTTACATAGACTAGAGTTCTTTCTCCCACCCTGGACATCATTCCACACTGCACTTGCTTCACTACCTCTATGCAGATACCCTCACTGATTGACTTTGCAGCTTCATAGCTACTCGATGCTATTCAAGCTTGCTAATTGCAACATTCAGAATTGCTTTAAATAGACAAGGATTCTTTCTCCCACCATGGACATTATTCCACAGGCATATATACACTGCACTTGCTTCACTACCTCCATCCAGATACTCTCACTGATTGACTTTGCAGCTTCATAGCTACTCAATGCTATTCAAGCTTGCCCATTGCAACATCCACAATTGCTTTACGTAGAAGGGTTCCTTTCTCCCACCCTGGACATCATTCCACAGATATACACATCTTGCTTCGCTACCTCTATGCAGATACCCTCACTGATTGACTTTGCAGCTTCATAGCTACTCAATGCTATTCAAAATTGCTAATTGCAACATTCAGTATTGCTTTACGTAGACAAGGGTTCCTTCTCCCATCCTGGACATTCTACAGATAGATATATACACTCCACTTGCCTCGCTGCCAACAAACCTCTTGTAAATGCGTGCCACAGATGCAGGTGAAACGTCAGGAGGGAATGCTCCTGGAACATGGTCAGACTGCCCAAAAAAACTCACAGCAGCCCAATATTAGCATTATTTATATTCCTCCTTCAAGACTGGAGCACAAGGTGGACTGCAAATTAGCACGACTCCGACATAGTTGAAAACATGCAAAAGGTCAACAGTAAAATGAACAAACGTCATTCAGACCATTTGTGACGGGGGGAAAGGGCCGCTGGGGAAACCGAGGCAGAGTGGAAGGCCAAGGAAGATGCTCCTTAAAGGCTAGGAAGTGTTGCTGTTGTTGTTGTTGTTGTTGTTGTTGTTGTTGTATGAGTTAAGAAAGCCAAGAGTGCCCCTGAGCTGGTGCAGAGGGCTTTCCATGACTCACTCCAAAGTTCTCAATGGGTTCTAAGGAAGCTCATCAAGTCCAAGATGATGACCACTTTTGAGGTGTCTTTTGAGCAGCTGCTGCTTTTGCACCCCATCTAAGCCAAGCAAAGGGCTTATTGGGTGTGTGTGTGTGTGTGTGCGTGCTTATGAATAAAGATGGAGAGGAAGCTTGAGCAGCGGATTTTCCGGTCCTCCAGTTTCCTGACATCCGCACAAAGCTCCTGGAGGAAGCGGTTCAGGCCTATGGGTTAAGGCGTCGTTGCTATGCAAATGAGATGCAGATCCATTTTTCATCCCTTTCCTAAGTCCCAGGGAGAGCCAACTTTGGGATGCACGAAGGTGAAGCAGCTGGAACGTAAATCCTGAAATCTGGCGAGTGGGAAACTTGGAGTAGATCAGGGCTTCTTGAATTTTTGGCCCAAAATATGTTTACGTGAACCCAGGTAAATAGGTGTATAAAATGGGCAAACATTTGCTGATACAAATCAGCATTGGAAAGGCTCACCTAAAAAGTGGATTTTCCCTTTTTTATGAAGTACAGCTGAAGCATCCATTGCAATCACTGTAGGGCAGATTTAGTGTCAATGCTGACAACAGCCACTAGGTGGCATTCAGAAACCTTTACTATTGTCAACATTGATCTGAGCCAAACACTGAGCTAAAGGGATCCATAGTTTGAAAAGCAGTGGAGAGCAAACTTCAACCCTCCAGGTATTTTGGACAGCCCTCCAGTGTTTTGGACTCCGGTGTTTTGGACTCTAGGTGTTATGGGCAAGGAGAGCGACTCGTTTTAGTTTTGCAAGGCCAACAGTTGGTTCATTACAAAGACATCCATCAAGCAGTGTATCTACACTGTAGAAATAATGTTAGTTTGACCCCATTTTAACTACTATTGAATCCTGGGAGTTGTAGCTTGGTAAGGATGTTGTTGATGATGTTATTTTATTATAATTTGTATTTTATTTTATTGTATTTTGTTGTTTGGGCTTGGCCTCATGTGAGCTGCCCCGAGTCCCTTGGGAGATGGTGGCAGATATAAATTATTATTATTATTATTATTATTATTATTATTATTCAAGAAGCGACTGCATATGTGGACATCACTTGATGGGCAACATAATAATAATAATAATAATCTTTATTTCTACCCCGCCACCATCTCCTCGATGGGGACTCAGAGCGGCTTACATGGGGCCAAGCCCGGACAACATAATACAGCAATAAAATCAAAACATATACAGCAAACAACAACATTATCAAAATGACATTAAAAGAAGAAAAAAATAATAAAATAAACATTCCAATAAACACAATCACAGTAAGGATGACAATCAGAGAGATAAAATAATCAGAAGCAAAAGATGGAAAAGCTCCCCGATTTCTGCCAAAAGAAGACCAGGAGCAGATTGTGGCTCAAACTAGAATAGTACCACTGACCGCATAGGGAAGCTGATGAGGAAACACAACATACAAACTATCTACAAACCCACCAAGAAAATCCAACAAATGCTACGTTCAGCAAAGGACAAGAGGGATCCTCTCACCTCTGCAGGAGTCTACCGTGTACCATGCAGCTGTGGACAAGTCTACAGAGGGACCACCAAACGCAGCATTGCCCAAACAAGAATCCAGGAACATGAAAGGCACTGCAGACTCCTTCAACCAGAGAAGTCAGCCATAGCAGAGCACCTGATGAACCAACCTGGACACAGCATATTATTTGAGAACACAGAAATGCTGGACCACTCTCACAACCACCATGTCAGGCTACACAGAGAAGCCATTGAAATCCACAAGCATGTGGACAATTTCAACAGAAAGGAGGAAACCATGAAAATGAACAAAATCTGGCTACCAGTATTAAAAATCTCTAAAATTACAACAGCAAAACAACAGAGAGGAAACACAGGCACATCTTAACACCTCTCAACAAAAAAATTTCCCAGGCTCAGCCAGGCCTTCAAATGCTAATGAAGGTGGTCAGTTGAAACATTCACACCTAGCTCCAGCAGAGAAGAGCTCTTTGCCCCACCCCCCAGTCATTCCACAGATATATAAACCCATTTTCCTAATTCCAACAGACCTCACTACCTCTGAGGATGCTTGCCATAGATGCAGGCGAAACGTCAGGAGAAATGCCTCTAGAACATGGCCCTATAGCCCGAAAAAACCCACAAGAACCTAGAATTGTACTATTAATCCTAATTGACCGAGGCTAGAAGAACTCCGAACTAAAGCCAGGGATAATGGGTGCATCTACACTGCCAATTAATAGTTTTGCTCCATTTTCTCTACTACGACTCCATACTATGGAATCATGGGAGCTGTAGTTCACAAGGCCTATAGCCTTCTCTTCCAAAGTGGACAGATGCCTTGCCATGGCTATATCCTTGAGCAATTAAAGTGAGATAGAACTGCATTAATTCTACAGTGTAAATCTGGCATGGGCAAACTTCGGCCCTCCAGGTGTTTTGGACTCCAACTCCCACAATTCCGAACAGCCTCCCTGCCTGGCAGAGCAGGATTGTATCAGATTAGGTATGGACAAGGAGAGCGATGCATTTTAGTTTTGCAAGGCCAACAGTTGGTTCGTTACAAAGACATCCATCAAGCAGTGTATCTACACTGTAGAAATAATGTTAGTTTGACCCCACTTTAACTACTATGGAATCCTGGGAGTTGTAGCTTGGTAAGGATGCAGTTCAAGAAGCGGCTGCATATGTGGACATCACTTGATGGGCAATGTAGTAATCAGAGAGATAACATAATCAGAAGCAAAAAGATGGAAAAGCTCCACGATCTCTGCCAAAAGAAGACCAGGAGCAGATTGTGGCTCAAACTAGAGTTGTACTATTAATTCTAATTGACTGGGGCCAGAAGAACTCTGAACTAAAGCCAGGGATATTGGGTGCGTCTATTGTGTTGAATTAATAGTCTTGCACCACTTTCTCTACTATGACTCCATGCTGTGGAATAATGGAAGATGTATTTCACAAGGCCTATAGCCTTCTCTTCCATAAAGAAGGGATGCCTTGCCATGACTATATCCTTGAGCAATTAAAGTGAGATACAACTGCATTGATTCTACAGTGTAAATATGGCATGCACAAACTTCGGCCCTCCAGGTGTTTTGGACTCCAACTCCCACAATTCCGAACAGCCTCCCTGCCTGGCAGAGCAGGATTGTATCAGATTAGGTATGGGCAAGGAGAGCGACTCATTTTAGTTTTGCAAGACCAACAGTTGGTTCGTTACAAAGACATCCATCACGCAGTGTATCTACACTGTAGAAATAATGTTAGTTTGACCTCACTTTAACTACTATGGAATCCTGGGAGTTGTAGCATGGTAAGGATGCAGTTCAAGAAATGACTGCATATGTGGACATCACTTGATGGGCAATATAGTAATCGGAGAGATAACATAATCAGAAGCAAAAGACGGAAAAGCTCCACGATCTCTGCCAAAAGAAGACCAGGAGCAGATTGTGGCTCAAACTATAGTTGTACTATTACAACTCTAACGGCAGTTAGGAATTGTGGGAGTTGCAGTCCAAAACACCCAGAGGGCCAAAGTTTGCGCATGCCTCCTCCTGACCCAGGGATACAAACCTCTTGAGTAAGGGAATGTCATATTAGCATGATGTTTATGTCTTCTCCTCGTTCTCTTTCTCCCCTTGGCAGAGGGAGAGCTGCGGGTGACGCAGAAGGGGCGCCAGCTGCGCACGCTGCTCCCGGGGGACGTCTTCGGGGAGCTGGCCGTCCTGTACAACTGCCGGCGCACGGCCACCGTCACAGGTGAGGAGAGAGAGGCACATACGTCTATATGCCTGTGTGTCTGTGACATGTGCAAGCAAACAATGCTGGCAATCCTCCTGACGTCGATGTTTTGGACCTTTGTTGCACCTGTGACCTGAGATGGCTGCCATTCTCTCCTCCAAGGTGTCCTTCTGCTCATGCGTTGGCACATGTTCTCCCTCCATGCCTTCCCCACATCTGTGGCTTTCCTTTATCAAGTGACTGATCCATTTTTTTGTGGGGGGTGGATCCCCACACCCAGATGTGTGCCAGGTGTGCAATCCGTTCTGTTTGGCTCTCATTCCCCTTTAATACTTTGTTCCAGCCGAAGAGAAGTCTGCAAAACACCAGGCGTTTGATTGTTGCAAGGTGTTCCTTGTTCCTTGAGTTGGCACATGTTCCCTCTCTCCATGCTTTTCCCTTTCCAAAAAGTGTGTTGACTCAGGCATCTTCA